GTGAAATAAGCCAGACGGAAAAGACAAATACCATATGGTTTCACTTATATGTGGAATCTAAAAACAAAACAGCAATAGATTCATAGACACTGAGAAGTGACTGGTGGTTACCATGGCAGAGGGTTTGGAGTAGGTGGATGAAATAGGCAACAGGAATAAAGAGGCACAAATTCTCAATCAACTATAAATTAGTCACAGGGATGAGAGTACAGCATAGAGAATATAGTCAATAGTTCTGTAACATCTTTCTGTGTTGACAGATATTAACTATACTAGTTGGGGTGAACATTTAATAATATAGATAGCTGTTGTATCAAATCACTATGTTGTATACTTGAAACCAATATAATATTGTACATCAACTATACTTCAATTTTTTAAAAAATTAATCAAAACCAGCCATATTTTGTCTCTTGTTTTCCCAAGAAAGAGGTAGAGTCTGCTTTACATTTGCCCAGACAAAAGACCACGTGTGGTTTTTCCAGAATAGAGAAGCCATGTTCCCCCCAGGTGTGTCCAAGCCTCCAAGTGTTGAGAGAAACTGAAAATTGTAGTTTTTTAAATGACAGTTTGATACTAAAATTCTACGGTTTAATGTTTGTTCCCTGACATCTCCTGACTTGGAAGAATTTGTGAACCTTGAGGCTCATCACTGGGTGTGCAGTAATGCAAGGTGGTTGGTTCCACGAGAATATTAACGTCAGAGGAAACTCCGGGGTTCCCCTGGGTTGTGTCTCCCCAGTGGTGCAGGAAACTGGCTGGAAGTGATCCATCTGGGATCTTCCCTGGGCCTCCATTTCATGACTAATGGAAAGACACCAGATACATTTTTTTGCAGTTATCTGTAATACATACATAGTATATGTTGACATGTCTCCCACCCTTTAGTTTGAGTGCTTATTATATCAGCTTTTATTCTATGTAATCCAAGAAATAACTCCACAAAGTATAGGTAATACTATTAGCCCCATTATACACATTTAGAAACAGAGGTAAAGTGAGGTTAGATCACTTGTCCAGAGTTACACAGCTAGTTAATTGCAGAACAGGGACTTGAACTGGAAAAACTACCACCAGTGACCACGTCCTCATCCACTAGAATGACACACAGGTCAGTTAGTGTTTTATAAAGAGCCATTTTTTCCTCCTGTGTGTCTCCTGACTCTCACACCACTGCCATACTCATAACACTTCTGACACCAGATGTGAGGGGCCTTCCCCCACCAGTTCTCTGGGGCACCAGCGGGGTGTCCTACAATTTAACTCAATTCTGACACTCTCTACCTGGAGATAGTGTCAGATCCCACAGGTTAAGACAAAGAAGTATTTTAAGACATGGGAATATGAGAGGTTATTAACGTGTTCTGTGAATTGTAACCCACCACTCCTAAAAGTCTGCAATTCTCTTTGGCTATCTTGCTGAAGAATCTGTTATCCTGGTTGTCATATTTATAACATGTTTGTTTTCTGAAATACATATGAAAGTTTTTTGAGCCACAGAAAGTGCTTTGGAATTTCCTTCTTCTTTTATGTGTAAAAGAATTTTCATCCCATGCTTCTGCTGGTGTCTCTCTTCAAATGGAGTAAAGAGCTTTCTCTCATGCAGGTCAGCACACGGGCATGGTTAAAGCGTCAAGCCCTCCACGTCTTACAGCGCATGACAAGTCACTCCTGGCAGCCAGTAGAGGATGCATGAGACAGATGCCGAACTGCACATCAAAAGTCCTCACATCAACACAATTTGATGAACTTCCAAAGTAAATATTTATTAAATGTCTCTCGGGAGTCAGACAGGGAGGCCACAAAGAGAAGAAGATGCAATCCCTCATGAGGGGTCTGCAATCGCCCCCAGACATGCACGTCCCCACACAACATGAGCAGCGTGGTGACTGGGCTGACAGAAGGCTCTGGGTGTGGTGGGGAGAAAGCAGCCAAGTGCCCAAACCTTCGCCCAGGAGGCTCCACCTGAGCTGAGTAAGAATTTACCCTGTGAAAAGGGAGCAGGAAGAGCATCAGGAATGGAGTCAGGGGGTGAGTATCCGACGGAACATGATTAGAAGTTTGGCATGATAATCAGTTCTCTGTGAAGGTAACTCTGAAGGGCAAGGAGGGAGGCAAGCATGGAGTTGGAGGCTCCAGACGGAAGGCTGATTCACAATATTCATATACTATATGCTGATTAAGTATTTCCTGTGTGCCCAGGGACCGCCCTAGCTCTGTCTAGAGGAGAATAAAGACAAGCAAACAGGTAACAACAAAACTGGCAACATGGTAGATGCCATGGCCAGGTTAAGTACAGTGTGGCTAAGACCAGCATCTCCCCAGGCTTGAGTAGCTTAGGTTGCAGAAACCCAGCTGCAAAAAATACCTGGTGCAAGGTAAGAGGTGACAGATTTGAAGGCTATTCTGGAGGCAGATGCTGTGGGGCCTCCACACGTAGCCCCCCACTCTTCCCGTGCAGCCGGCCACTGCAAGCAGCTCCAAGCCTTTACATGAAGACATTCATGTTTAGCAGGCCAAGGAATTCTGGGGAGTTAGGTCCCCTGGAGTGGTCCTCTGCCACTATCAGATGGAAGTCGGTGGATTAACACCCAGCGTTGTTTGCCCCTCGGCTGGAACAGCTCCGAGGAGTGCCTTATGCAGAGGACACATGTGGACTAAGTACCCACAGCCCGCAGTGGTGACCTGCTCGTTAACATACCTTGTGCTGCCTCTCTCCTTCCTTGTCTCACTTCCCCTTTCTCTTCCCAGTTCTTCCTGGAATCACATCCCAAATAAACTACTTACACTCAAATACTTGTCCCAGAGTCCACTTCGGGGGAAACCCAAACTGAAACACACAGAAAAAACTTAGTGAAAGAGCAGCTGATAAAAATTTAGTCTCCAATAGGAGGATGTGAGACTTTCAGCTTGGGGTGATGCTGACCCCATTGGCTGAGATGAAGGCCCGCCAGGACAGAAAGAGGGACACGCTTGTGGGAAACAAGATGAGTTTGGACAGACTGAGCTGTAGGTGCCCGAAGAGCTTACCATCTTACAATTCCATGAGGTCAAGGTTAAGACTTGACTTTGGAAAAAGTGAAAAGAAACTGAGCAGAAAAGTGACTACACAAGAGGAGAAACCACCAGAAATGACATCACATCTCCCTAAAGGGCAACTACAGGATCTTCCTTTGACCCAAGAGAATACAAAGCCCTAGCTGTCTCTTCCAGCCGGTTTCGGTATTCTAGTTTCTCATAGTTGCGGAGACTCACGCCTTTAAATCCATAGATTACTCCCCACCAGCAGGCAGCAATGACAGCTGTGGAATCACTGTCTCCGCCGTGAAAAAAGGCTCGGTGGGCGAGCTCCTTCCAGGAGTCTCCTGCAGCCAGGACGGCATCGTAGGCAATGATGGGGGCATCGTGCCCACTGCTGCCACCCCAGCCGGAGTAGCTCATGGAGCTATAGAACTGATCCCTCTCCTTCACATCAAAGGGCTGGGGGAAGGTTGGAGCTGATTTGCCATCTAAAATCCCTCGAAGTTTTAGGTACTTTTCCCATTTGTCTTGGAAGTAGGACCTGTAGGAAGGAAAAATTGAGTCAACTGCAAAAATAAAGTCAAAACCCATAAGGAAAGGTATCAGATGGATGTGTGAACAGGGAAAATTCTAAGATGACTTCGACTTCTTGTAGTAAGATCATAAACAATGTATTTTGCTGAGGATTGATATAAACAAGGCAGTGACATCTGTTGCCAAGTAAAGAAGATACATAGTAAGTTAAAGGTGAGAAATAAAGGATTTTCCTGAGTTAAGAATAACATCAAGTGTCACCTTTCAAGGGGGCACTTTATTTATGTAGCCTCTCATTCTGTTTTTTATTTTATTATTTAATTTTACTTTCTTACTAAAAATGGTCTGTAAGGGAAACAACATGATGACTCAATATAAATACATAGTGAAATGATTACTATAGTCAAGGTAATCAACCCATCATCTCCTTACACAGTTTTCTTTTTTTCAAGAGGGAACTCAGGAATATCATGACTGTGGATGATTTCAGCAGAAAGCCTCAGACCTTTTTATTCTAAGGAAGGCAATGCAAAGTGAACTCACCAAAAGGGAAGATGTTACTTGACCACTTATTAATTGGGGGGAAAACCTGTCTTTCAGGCATTCTAACCAAGGATTTCAAAATATTATTTGTGTGTCAAGACATCGCTGAAGACACCAGTCCCAGGAAATAAGCAGGAAGGCTCATCTTAGACGAGGAGAGCCAGAACAACTGTACAAAGTTGGAACACAGAACAGGATCCCCATACGAGAGGCAGTGCTGCTTATTGAAATCTGCACTCGGCGACATGGTAGCAGCCCGCACTGGGACTGAGCTCTGTAATTCTTAGCAGGTGGGCAGGGAGGGGGCTGGATGCAATGGGTAAAAAAATTGGCTGGTGAGAAACTGGCAGTTGCTATGACCTATGAATTGTAGGCACACACACGCACACATGCACACAGATTCAGCCATTTTCTAGCAGGCATGTGCACCTACAAACTTACCAGTGTTGAAGATTCTTCTCCACAAAGTGACCTGATTGGACAATGTACTTTTTAGCTTTGGGTAGCACCTCCAACAGTCCTTTTCCCCATTGCCAGGGAGGCTTGCCGCTCACAGCATAGGCTGTGAAAAGAGCAGACACAAGGGCTCCTAGGTAGCCTGTGGGGTGGTGATGGGTCATTCTGCCACTCTCGATGCTCACTTGGACCAGCATGCCCAGCTGGCTGTGGTGAGGGAACCTGAGACCGATGCACATGGCCCGCATGGCAGCCCCACAGCCGCCCCCATGGCTGTTAAAGGGAATCTTCCAGCCATTCGCCTTGTCTGGCTCCAGTAGCATGGCATAGTGCATTGAGGTGCCCCCTGTGAAGAGTTGGGTAGGACATGGGTCAGTTTAACCAAAGGGAAGTCCCCAGGAGGAGGAAAGAACCAAGCTCTGTCATCAAAAGTCTTTGAGGAAAAAGGAAATTAAAAGGAAAAAGGAAAGCCAAAAGAATGTGATGACGAAGGCCCCAAGCCCCAAGCCAGCATGGTACCTTACCTTATGTATAACCCTTAGATAAAATTATTAATAAGTAGGTTTACATAGAGTGCCTTGGAATATTTACCAGCTACTAGTGAAACAGCACAAGAACTTAAAAAGGTAGGCATAATATATTATTGTCTTTTTTTTAATTAATAAATAAGCTAAGGCTGAGAGCTTAAGAACCTTACAGAAAATCACATAACCAGCTAGTTAGTGGCCCCATGCAAAACATGAGGTTTCACGCCCAAGCCCTTAAAGAACCCAAGGAGAACCAGATGCCTGGAGTCCCTGAATGGAAGTCCCTGAATGGCAGGAAGAGGCCACAGGTTCTACGATGGAGATCACCAGGCTCAGAGGAGAAGCGATGGGTTCTGAGCAACGAAGCACACTCCCTGGGTTTCCCCTGTGTGAGAGTGCTGTCGCCGGCGCCGACCGTCTCCCTACCCTACTGGGCGCTGTGAATGCACTAGAGCCGAGCAGTGGCAGCAACATACTGTCGGCGGCGGTATTATTCCCTTATTTTCAGTGTATTCAAAACAATGTCACAGACGGCTTAGGTGGACAAAGAAAAATTTTCCACTCGCCAAGCTGATGAAGTATCAGATGTTGAGAAAGGATGAACAATGTTGGTTTCTAAGGCTAAATTCTTGGGGTCGCCAGAGCCCCCTGGGTTGTGTATGGGGGGTGGCAGCTTTTCATCACAAGGTGTTATGAACTGAATTGCATCCCCCAGAATTCATATCCCAAAGCCCTAACCCCCAGGACATTGGAATGGGACTGTGTTCGCAGACAGGGCCTTTACAGAGGCAACAAAGTTAAAATGAGAACGTGGGCCCTGTTCTAACTGGCATCCTAATAAGAAGAGGAAATTCACACACAAAAAGAGACGCCAGGGTGTGTACTATGGGAGGACACAGCTGTGTGCATGCCAAAGAGAAAGGCCTCCCTCAGGAGAAACCAAACCCGCCTACACTTTAATTTCAGAACAGTGAGGAAACAAATGCACATTGTGCAAGCCATCCGATCTGTGATATTTTCTTACGGCAGCTCGAGCTGACTGACACAGAAGGAGCGGTAGGTCAGATGGGCTAGGGAAAAGGTAATTCAAATCATGTGGTGCCCAAGTGGCTGTAGCAAATGCCCAAAGTGAGCAAGGGCCACTTGTGAACAGACTTGGAACCAGAAAAGGAGTCTCTGTAAGACCCTTTCCATTCTTCTTTAAGAAGAAAAATTAACTTTTTCTTTATACTTGTTTGTTACAGAAAACTTAGAAAATACAAATAAGCAAAAAGGAAATAAGAAACTATACATACTCCCATAACCCAGATATAATTACCACTTTGTATCTATCCTTACAGGCTTTTCCCAATGTATGGGAAAAAGAGATATATGTATATACTCTTAATGACAATGGACCTCGTAAGATACATGCTGTTTTGTAACCTACCTTTTCTCTACTCAGTATGTAGTATCTCTCCATATCAGTAAATATTTATCTACATAATTTTAAATGGCTGCAAGTGTATCCAAATAATTAAGTTAAATCCAGAATATTTAGGTTGTTTCCATTTTTATCGCAACTACGAAATCACAATTACTGTCTCCTTGATACTTAAATCTCAATCAACTTTTTCAGTGACTTCCTTGGGCCTGTTTTATTCTCCACCTGCGGAGGTACTCTGCTGGCTGTGCTCACCTGGTGACCGGCCATCCATGTCTCCCATGCAGTCTTGGTAATGCTTAGCAAGGAGTGGATACAATCGAGACAAGTCCACGACCTTCCCGGCTTCGATGAGAGCCTCTGCGGTGGCCAGGTGCATCACTGTGTCGTCGCTCACTCTCCACCTCTCCACATCTATGGCATCCAAGCCGCCCAGCTGGGCCAACTGCTGGTGAATCTTTTCCCCATTGTCAAGAAACTCCCACTTCCCATTGAAGTATCCCAAGGCATCTCCAGCTGCACTCAGCACCATGGCAGCCACATACTTCTCGATCTGTGCCCCACACATGGTGAGGCTGTGCAGGGGAATGCTGAGATACACAGTGGATGAGATAAAAGAATCAGAAAAAATACTAGCCCTCTCTACATTTTACTGAGCATTCACTACTTGTAGGCACTGTGTTAAGAGCATCTCACTTAATCCTCACAATTGCTGTATGAATGATACATTAGGCCCATTTTACAGAGTAAATCTAGGATCACAGAGATAATGCAGTTATCAAAAGGTTGAGTGACTTATTTTAGGTCACAGAGCTACTAAATGGCAGGGCTGAGATTCCAACTTAGGTCCATCTAACTCCAAAACCCATGATTGTAGCCACGACTTCACCTGCCTGTCTGTTGAGTGGCAAACCCATTCAACTCTGCCAATCACACCAAACATGTAATTTTCTCTTTTTAGTTGGACTTTGGTCTTGGAAGTGTATCCCTCCTATATTTAAAAAACAGTACCTTCCATTGGTATCATGACGCACAGTTCACAAAGCAACTGCACCTTCTCTGACTCTTTAGGAGGCAAGGATTGCAGAACACATTTCACAAATAGGAAACCTGAAGCTCATAGCAGGTAAATTCAGCCGGTGAATGGAGGCACTGCGACCCAATCTGGTGATTCAGGCCATTCAGCCTAAGTGCAAACCTATTTACTTTGGGCAACCCCCTCATGCTTCAGCCTCCACATGTGTAAAATGGTGACAAAAATATTAACAACCTCAGTGGGTTCGTTATGTGTTATAAATGAAATCATTTAGTAAGCACTTAGAACAGTGCCTAACAATAGTAAGCACTATTTTTATTATTCATACACAACCAGGGAGAAAGATTTTTTTTTATTACTGAACTACAATCCTCTTTCCCCACAACCTTTCTTTCTATGGTACCCACTGTACTTGCACAGACCAGGCAAACACGTTTTTAAGCCAGATAACTCACCCCTCAGCTCAAGCTCTTTCCCACCCCAAGATGCCCTTGCTCCCCAGCACTTACCCACACCCTGTTTCCTCGGGGTAAATTCAAGCCCTAGAGCTTCTGAGAGGCCCTGTCCAGCTGCACGGCTCAGGGCCAGGGTGTACAGGCTGGCAAGCACCTGGAAAAGAAGACGGGCTGAGCTTATCAATACCGTATTACTGATCACACTGTTTCTAGGCTCACAAAGGATAGTTACAAGACATTATGTACATATTTTATTATTTATAAATGATGCTTAGGAACAGGAGTTCTGGGCTACTAGACCAGGCTTTGGTGAGAATCAAGTGTGTGTTTGTGGACAAGCCCGCCGCCTGGGACTTCTATCTTCCCATCTGTAACCTGGAGGGGAGGTGTGGCGGAACCAGAGATGCTAGCTGGACTCCTGTCCTGCGCTCACAGACTGAATTTAGGGGCTTCTGAGGACCGACTTTTAAACCCCTGTACTCTCTCTCCCAATGTTCTCAGCATCCTTTCTGTAATTCCTTCTGGGTTCCACCCAAATGTGTTTTTTTTTGTACCAATAAAACTTTATTTGCCAACACAGCTGGTGGGATTTGGCCAATGGGCTGTAGTTTAAGGACCCCAGTCTAAATGGATTGGAAGTGGTACATCACATTGCACTGACCATTTATATGACAACCATTCCTTGCTTTTTACTTGCTGGCAATGCCCTGGCTTCATAGGGTGCTTACTCCTTTCCACATGACTCAGGAGGAAATCCAGATTCCGAATGTGTTTTTGTTTTTGTTAATTACAAGAGGATATGAGTGACGCAGATCATTTCTTTCCTGGGAAATTTTAACTTTTACCCGAACTGCTCTAGCCTCCCGCTTCGGACCGCCGTTATTCCTTAAAAATCCCCTGAACTTTGACAGTTTACATTCTCGCCCCAGAACTATGAATTCAAAACTAAGGGCTGGGTAGCTGCTTCCCGACAGTCCTCAGCTTTTTGGGGGGCGAGAGGCACGCGCGGCCGGACAGGGGGTGGGAGTGGGCACCTGGTCACCGCCGAGCGGAGCGCACCGGGGCGCCGGGAAGGCGGCCAGGCGTGAGCGGGGTCCAGGGCCCAGGAGGGGGCGGGGAGCGGGGGCGGTGGCACCGGGCCACCCCTCGGCGGGGCGCGCGCGGGGCTGCGGGGGCACAGCGGGAGGAGTACCTGGTCGCTGCGGGCAGCGCAGCGCGCGGGCGCGGAGAAGCCGGGCGGTTTGCAGGGTGCGGAGAGCCCCGGGGGTCGGCGGCGAGCGTAGCGCACAGGAAGAGGGCAGAGCCGTTCCGGGACCGCGCCCAGTACCGAGGCTCCGCGGACTAGGGCCCCTTCCGCTCGGCCGAAGTCAGCTAGAGAAAGTCGTGGGACCTCAAGCGGCTTCCCGGCACCGCCGCAGCCTTATGCGCCCCAGCGGGGGCCACGGGACCTGCGTCACCTGCCTCCGAGGCTCGGGCAGGGGCCTGGGAGCGCCTGGCTTCTTACATTGTCGCGGCTCCTGGAACTGGGCCCTCATCTGACTGTCAGTGGCTCACGTGTGGCCTGTGCCTTTCCTTATGCCCAGCTTTCCTGGGTTAGAGTCAAGCAGTGTGTGGCCAGATACCTGGAAAAGAGTATTGAATGTGAGGTCTTTGTCCGGGTTCTGGGTCCCTCACCCATAAAATGGGACAACAATAATACTTCTTAGGGTAGTTGTAAGGATTAATTTTATTTTAACTCTTCATTTACTTGGCAGCAGTATAGAATTTTTGCATGTTGATAGTAAACAAAAGCAAAGAAAAAGTAAGCATATTTTTGTCTGGATAAATTAATGTCACTTTTAAAAAGAATTAGAAGCACCATATGTAAGTATTCCATATACTTCTCCAAACTTTTAATTTGCTATGCCATCTTTTTTAGCTGTAATGATGCAGACATGGCTGGGACTATTTTGTTTTTGTTTTTGTTTTAATTGAGTTATACAAGAGACAGCAGAGCAATCAAGGTAAATCAGACCATTTGCAAGCTTACAGTCAAACCCATGTGTTTGGGGGTGGGTGGGGGGATCATTCTATGTGTAATAATACAGCATTTGAGCCTTGGCTGAATGATGCTAATGCCTCTCTACTAACCAATGGGTCTGTAAATGCTAACACTTATCAGGGAGCTCTGTGTACTCCTGGCTTACCCTTCATATGTGGAGGTTTTGGCAACGACCCCTGTCCTTGGGCAACGCATTGTCATTGGCTGGAAGATGAAAGGACAAGGTTCTCTTGCTGTATTTACTATTTTGTTTTCATAGCAAGTCACAAGCCTACCACTGGTCCACCCAATTAAGACTCCATGACCATCTTAAACAGGAACTTCTAGAGGAGGCATACATGATGCCGGATTTACCTCCCTACGGACAGCCTTTCTCCCTTGAGTAAGAATAAGTGCCAGTGGACACATGATCAGAAATCTCTCTTACATTAGGAGAGTTAGCTGATTCCACAGTCAAGGCAATAGTAGCCCAACTATGACCACTTGCCTTGCTGGATTAAGTAGCTTTGGATAATTGTATAGCCCTTGATCAACTACTTATTGAAAAAGAAGGTGATAGCTATTACCACCTATTACACATGGATAAATTTCTCTGGGGAACTAGAAACCTAGTTGCATAAAGTTAGGGAACAAGCATATTGGATACAACAGATTTCACCTAATGATCCAAGGTACTTTGAGCTCTAAATTTAGCTGGTTACCTTCAGGTTTGGGCTCCTGACTTAGAACCATTGCACGAACTGGATTCGTCACTTTAGTTTTAGTTCTGTTTTGTGTAATTGTTTTTAAGCTTTGTACCTGTTTCCTGTCAAACATTTATAGAAACGATGTGCCTGTTGGGTGATGCTGACTCAACACTTTGAGATGACCTCTGCTGCTTACAACCCTGATAAGATACAGACTTTAGATGGGAAATGTCTGAGAGCACATAGGCCATGACAACCAGGAGAGGTCCTGCCTGGCACTGAGGGATGAAACCAATAAATGCAGAAAACCTGACTATTATTATTATTATTATTAACATCTGTTTTTATTATCAACAACTTATATGTTGGGCACTATGCTATGTTAGGCAAGGGTGGTATGTGATTAAATTATAGGCATTATCTTCAAGGAGCTCAATAATTATAAAAATGGATAGATTTTTCTCTAATAAGGAAATGTGTTTATTTTCTCATTACATTTTATTCTTTTGTCTACCCCTAAAGCAGGACTACATTGATTTTTTCCCATTGCCCATAATACTATAGACATTTTGGGCCAACAGATACTCAGTGTAACACATTGTTACACGTTTTCAAGTTTTTCTTTTTAAAAAAAATTTATATTCAGATACATATAATAAAATGCACAATCTTAGTGTACAGCTTGATGCATTTTGACACATGTATCACTTATGTAACCATAGCCCAGATCAAATATCAAAGATTCTCATTAATTTTTCCCCCTTTGTCTATTTCACCCATCTCCCCACTCCCCTCTATGGCAACCACCATTCTGTCTTCTGTGTCTATGAGTCTTATTTGTTTATTTTGTTCATTTGTTTACTATACTAGATTGCATAGATAAGTGAAATCATATGGTATTTGTCTTTGTCTGGCTTATTTCACTTAGCATAATATCCACTAGGTCCATCATGTTGTTGCAAATGGCAGTATTTCATTCTTTTTTATGGCTGAATTATATTCCATTACATATGTAGCACATCTTCTTTATCCTTTCATCTATTGATGGACATTTAGATTGCTTCCATATTTTGGCTATTATAAATAATTCTGTGGTAAACATAGTAGTACATAAATCTTTTCGGATTCATGATTTTGTTTTCTTCAGGTAAATTTCCAGAAATGTAATTGTTGGGTCATATGGTATTTCTGTTTTATTTTTTTGAGAAATGTCCATACTTCTTCCATAGTATGTGTACCAATATGCCATCCTACTAGCAGTGTACAAGAGTTCCCTTTTCTTCACATCCTGGCTAACACTTGTTATTTTTTGTCTTCTTGATATTAGCCATTCTGACTGGTGTGAGGTGATATCTTATTGTGGTTTTGATTTACGTTTCCCTGATTATTAGTTTACGTTGAGCATCTTTTTATTTGTCTGTTGGGTCTGAATGAGTTCTCAGCAAAATGTCTATTCAGGTCCTCTTGTGCATTTTTTAATTGGGTTGCATTTCTGGCATTGAGTTTTATGAATTCTTTATATATTTTGGATATTAGCCCCTTACTAGAAGTATCATGTGCAAATATATCCTCCCATACAGTAGATTGCCTTTCATTTTGTTGATGATGTCCTATGCCATGCAGAAGTTTTTTAGTTTGATGTCATAATAACCAGGAAAGGCCCTTCCTGGTACCAACGGATGAAACTAATAAATGTGGAAAATGTGACTCTTGATCAACAATGATTTCAAGGAAAGATCTTGATCAAAAGGAGGAAATGTAACAATGAGTAAAAGAAAGTCTCATTCCAAATGAAAGCAGGAAGCCACAAAGGGGGAGTTCTCATGCATATTCTTACTCATCGCAGCTTATTTTACACACTCCGACAGGAGGACACTTTACTACCCCAACAGGAGGAGGGCAGATTTTCTCTTGGCCCAACAACAACTCGGCCAATGAGAAATTACCACATCTCAGCCAATGAGAATTCACCACAACCCCTATAGTGTGCCAAAGTTTGCATGTCCTAAACTGCAGTTCCTTTGCTACTCCCAAATAAACTCATTTTGCTGGTAAAATAACTGGCCATTTTATTTTTAAGATAGACAACACCTACTAAGAATCCTTTCTCCTTGGTCAAAAATTGGAAAATGTCTGTGGTACATGAAGGATATGGCTATTCAAACCAAAAGAATAATATGTCAGTTAGCATGCTTCCAGCTCCAAGTCACTGCAAATAAGCATCACACCCTACCCCAGCCCTGACACACATTCACATATTCACCGGCATAAATAATGAGGAGAGTTATACTTTATGTAACAAAATGTCTACGCATGTCTACATTTCTTATAAAACAAAATATCTCACATAACAAAAGTCCCCAGGGTTAATTCACAACTCAACACTATCATCAAGGACCTCATTTGTCCCATCTTTCTTCCCTGTTATCCAACGAATGTTTATTTTATTCCCAGGCTGACTTCCTTAATGGATACAAAATCCAGTTATGATTGTAGACAACATCCCATGGAAAAAGAGAGTGTCTCCTTTCAAGGGAGGAAAAACTGTTCCCAAAGCCCTCTCACCCCCGCCCCAGCCCCAGAAGACTAAACCAGTCACTGGCAGGCAAGTTAGGTCAATGAGTCTCCCTTTGATCAAGGATAGAACATTTTCCCTTAGAGGTGGATACTTACGCAAAAACCAAGGTTTTGTTTGCAAAGGAAAGAGTGAAGTTTCTGTCAAGAAGAACAGATATTTATTTGGAGTTTACTAGATGCTTGGCACTAGTGTAAATTCAGAGACAGAGATGTTGAAGACTTAGTTCTCCATCCCAGTTTTATGAAGGAAGACACATCACAGGTGTCCTCATTACTCACCACTACAGTTATCATTTGCCATGTTGAGGCTCTCGCTGAGAATCGAACGTGCGGGACTCAGACCTGCTCTTTGAGACATTTCTGGCACCTCATATACAAGGTGGGAATAATACTACTTTTCTTACAGAGTTGTTATAATATCAAGAAATGATCTTTATATATTCGATAGCCGTTAAACACTGACCATGTACCAGGTATATGCTGGGCTCTGACACAGTCCCTGCCCTCATGGAGTGGATCCAGCTGAATGATCTCATATTTAAAATGTTGATGAATTAATATATGTATTTAAATGTTCACTTTTTTCTTAATAATAAAAGTAATGCATACTTCCAGTAGAAATGGAAGTTGATGATGTCCTATGCCGTGCAGAAGTTTCTGGTGGAAGGAGGAGAAAAAAACAGAAAAAAACAATAGTGGAAAAAGACCAAGGTGATCAGCTGAAGGATTTTAAAGAAGACAAGGAAAAAGGACTAGAAGTTCAGCTGACTGAAAGCTTCTAGGAATCTCTTCTAAAGAAATACCCATAGGTGTTGTTGAAGTTAAGTGTTCCTAGTTGTTCTTTGCAGAACTATTTTTAATAGGAGAAAATTGGAAATAACCTCATTATGTTTACAGGGGAGTATGAGTTTCTGTCTCCTGAATTATGGCATAATTATGGAACTGTTCAAAACCATGAAGTAGACATTTAAACCAGTAGACTAATAATCTCATATGGAAACAGCTTCCAGAAATTTTAAATAATTAAATAATTAAATTTTAGAGTGAGGACTCTATATGGTCTTATTTATGCAAAGAAAAAAGAGCTCTATGTGTGTCTGTGTGTGTGTGTGTATAAAATGAATGAAAGGATGCATATCAAATTGTTAATGATTATGATTATCTCTCAGAAGGGTAATAGAGTTTTCTGGAAGTAGGGAGAGAGATAAGGGGAAACTTTTAATCTTTCATAAAAAAAATTGTTATATATTGTGTATAAAGAAAT